TGTTCACCATAAAACCCAAATATTTCACTTATAAGATATGACTATCAGAGATAACAAGAAGTGTTAAACGAATTATCAATATACACAGTATTTATTTTCTGAGCCATATCAATCTGAGACTATTTTATTTTCATTGAACTTTCGTCTCAACATGTCAAAGGCAACAAAATTGTAAAACATGTCAGGATTTTATACACTCTTTGCAAAAAAAATGATTTGTATTATTTCTAAATACATTTACTTAACATGAGAACCTATATAATATATCTGTAAAGCGCTTAGACACATCGTTGGATCGGTGTATTGAGCGCTATATAAAAAAAACGGATTATTATTATTATCATTATGGCGAAATTCGTCAGCTAATAAACTTTGTTTACATCATAAAAAGATAATAATATAGATAATTAGTTAAGCATACTTATCGATAGCTAACTTTCTTTCTTTTTTAACTGCTGTATGGCTCTAATATAATGTGATATAAACAAAATTATACACCATAATAATTGATTTCGCGCATACAATAAGATGTGCTGACTAGGATGTTCCGCCCATGTTAAAATAAATAAATAAATGAAAAAATACAAAATGTTTAATCTAACCGTTATTTCAAATTCCCTATTATCATTTATTTGTTTGCACCTACGCGTTATTTATTGTACCGAAAATACACTTAACATATTCCTTGTATGAAATTCTATCTAAAGCATCGTCATAAAACCTGTGTTTCATGAAGATTTAAATTGTATAAATAGTTCTCCATGTAAATCGAGCATTTCGTTTAAAACTGTTATAATTTGCCTCGTGTGATAAATATGATTTCCTTCAGTTTAATAATTGCCATTGGTGTATAAACTGAACATGCTGAAGATATTGCGCTTTTAGTTTTGTTCTTCAAAATTTATATCCTTCGTCGAAAATCAATATATGGGACTATAATGGTCATCAGAAATCAGTTTTATTTTGATTTACGCAAGGGTTTGGAACTATTTTGTTCAATTAACATGAATCCAAAGCGAAGAAATAATGGACTTCACAATCTATCTTATGAAGGTATGGCTGCTGCATTAGAAGAATGCAGCAATGGGCTACCCAGTCGATACGTCATAATTGCATTGCCTTTCTTTTCCATTTTGTCACACATTTTATGTTTTGTTCTTCATCTTTTATAAAGCGAGTTGCCGATGGTTAAAGGTGAAACTGAAACAATCATTTTTTTTTAAATAAATGTATTATATCTTGAACAAAAGTTTCGAGAAAAGTCCTTTTTTAACTACTAAATAATTTGTTCAGTTTAAATACCCAATGTACCAAATGTTGCCATCAAGTAAAATCATATAATTGCCGCTGTGTTTTTCTTCTACTAAAATAAAAGATCTCTTCTCACAGCTTAGCCCCATTCTAGGTTTTTATTCATTCTTTAAGTTTTATCGTTTGCAAACGGAGGGTTAAGAAGTGGGAGCTACTGCCCCCTGATAATGTCAGTTTCAAATCACTATTTTGTGGACAACCAGTAAGGTGGTTATTTATAATTTTCTGATTTTACCTTGTATATTGTATTATTGAAGTATACATTGTCGCTCTCATGAAGCGTGAACTGTTGCACTCTAAAAAAAAGTATTGAGCAACAAGGGAACATAGCCTAGTATGTTTTGTTGGGTTAGTTTTTTTATTTAGTCAATTTGAGGACGTTTTACCCGACATTGAGTTTTAAAAGTTTTACCCATCAAACATGAATTTTCCCCTTGGGTATTTTTTCCCAAACTATTTTAGAGTGTGTCTCACTTGCTTCGCTCGCTTTAAAACCGGGAGATGGATATACGGCGGGCTTTGACTATTAGCCCCATGGCGAATTATGCCGGGGGGGTGTTTCACAAAGATCCTAAGTTGAACTTATCTCTAAGTTAGACTTAAAAATTATGGAAAGCCGTTAGCGTTTTTGAAAATGTTTTGTAAAATTTGTTTTAAAAGGCATAAAATGTTGATTCAAATAATTCATATTTTCTATTATCAAGGAGATTTCATGTACTTGATGTGGAATTTATGAAAAATCTAAAATACTTGAATTTTTGCTTTTGACTATATTTTATTTTAAGGCTACAAATGGCTCTCCATAATATTTAAGTCCAACTTAGAGTTAAGTTCGACTTAGTATCTTTGTGAAACACCCCCCTGGAAGCCTACGCGAGCAAACACATTTAAAGAATACCAAACGTTGTAAGAATTTCTCTTCGTTTTTCCTTCTCTTCAGTATTACAATTACACAAAGAAAAGGTTGGCCCTTAGACCTTGTAGCTTTGCTTCAATAATTCACAACTGGTGTGAGTTTCTTGTTTGTATAAATCCCTATTTTCTAAAACATTCTCAATTAAAAGAAACTCTTCCTATTTCCGTTTGATTTGATCCGATTAGAAACGAGTGATTGACCAAGCAAAGAAGTTCTACGCATGTTAGTCTCGAACCAGTTTGCCATTTTTGTCCTTTTTAAACTTAATAATGGGTCAACAGTGGATGCATGTGTGTGTTGATGTCAATGATGTGACACGAAATTATCATAAAAATGTTATAGTATGCAACGTAAAATCCGTCACGCAACATGAATTTTCAAAGGCAATGTGTTGAGAAAATGGCAAAGAAATGTCCTATGCCCTATTTCATGTCACACTGCAATTCAAAGCACATACAATAATAAATTTTGTTCACTGTGTCTTATGACTACATTGTCCAAACTTCCTATTTGCCACATTCATAAAAAGCTTAAAGTGACCAATGCACCGGTATGCATGTCAATTTCGCAGGCTCATAAAGCAGAGAAATCATATAAGTCTGGTGGAAATAATTAAGATTTCTTACTTTTGATTATCGTTAATTTTAAAATTATTTTTGTCTTTAAGCTAATTAAGTGTGGAAATATTCAAATAATAATTTTGGTGGCTATCCTGAAGAGAAAAAACAAACCCTGCACTTTATACCATTATCTTTCACATATTTTCTTAAATTCATGCTGCAACCCCTGCTGCAATGGAGGATATTTTACATGATTTATATTCAAAAGCTGGTTTAATTTTCATCTACACTTTCTATTTTACAAAAATCTAGATTTCTTAAACATGCTAGAGTTTAAATACTTTCTTTTTCTTAAATCCATGCTTACTTTGGAGTTTCTGTCTGAGCTAAAGAGGCTATTTACCATTTTAAACAGACTAAATTTTACCAGGAACCCATCTTGGGTTGAGCATGTTTAAACAAGAAATAGAATGAATCGGAAATAGCTCAAAGTCGACACACATAAAAACACAACCATGTGATCTCATTTATGCTTGTCAACAGATAATAGAATCAATGACATTTATCTAATGTGCAGAATCACATGTAACACAGTCCGAGGCCGAACAGGATGTTGCATTATAAGTAAAGAAATATAAGCAAGAAACTGTAAAGAGATAGAATAGATGATAAATAATACTACTATTGATTGAAGAAATTAATATATATAAATTAAAAATGTAATTTAAACAAAATGTCAGCGTCAAAACAAAATGTTTTGGTTAATGGCACAAATATAATACCCATGAGTTGAGATACTTACCTATACAAAATGTTTATAGCAAAAGATCCCAATTTAGTGGAAAAGTTTTAAAAATTATTTTAAAAAATGAAGAAATCAAGGTTTGATCAACGCTCCCCCCCCCCCTTTAAAAAAAATAGATATATAGTTTCTGAAGAAGTAAAATGTCCTGTTTCATGTACATCAACCGTCCAACTGCTTGGTATTGTATAACATCTTCTCTCTCTCTCTCTCTCTCTCTCTCTCTCTATCTGTCTGTCTGTCTTAAATTTCTGTCTCTATCTTTTATTCTTGCATGTACTATACTATTTCATGCTAGATATTTGTCGTACAATAACCTCTCCTCACCCCGATCCTTCACGGGAACACTTTCATGCAAACGGCAGAGATGGACCAATTTTTTTTCCCATACAAATATTACAAATACCTACCAGAAGGATCAGATCGAAAACATGATGGGATTATATATATATATATATACCATGATTTAATATAAATTTGAAGGTATGTAACGAATAAATACTATCTTAAATCTCAATTTTGTGACATCACTCCATCAAAAAATGAACGTTTGTCAAGAAAAAAAAATGCTTTACCGCTTTTAGAGAGTAATCTTGGATATCAAACCTCCTAGTTGAAAGATATTTAAGACATTGTTTTTCAAAAAAAGCCAATCTATGCAAATACATGTATATTTACATGAAATGAAAAAAGTAAAACCGTACGCAGTCTGATGGTAGGATGAAAGTCGTATTTGTCATTCTGTTGACGATAACGAGCATCAAAACTTGAAGAAAGCATATGACGACGTAATCAACATTTTGAATAATACTTGAACCCCTAAGATGATAATCAGGGGCCTTAAATTATTGAAAACGTCTCAGAGGGAATCCCGTCTATTAACAAAGTTCTTAGAAATAATGAGACGGTTTGGAAATATTTAATTTCCTCCCTCATTGTGTTTCTTTACAGTTTTCAATTTGAAGTTGTACATTTTTATCACGCCTCATATGGTTATTCGGAAAAACGAAAGCGAGCTAAAACCATCGATTCGTTTATACTCACGCCAGACTCATTTCCATCGTTATCAATTGCATACAAACATGTGAATTGATAAAATCATTCATAAATTGAGATGATGTACAAGAATAACTAACTTTATGTTTTAAAAGACAAACTACTTTGATGACATATAAAATTAAATGTTGAGGCAAAATCGTCATAGCACGCCATTTAAGCGTTACTAGGAAACGAAAATGATCGTCATACACAACAAATGACTGAAATATTGGTTTCTTTAAAGTTTATCATCGTTTTAAATACTTTAATACTATTATAATTACAACAACAAAACGCATCTGATTGGATAAACTAAAGATGTGCTATTAAATGCAAAAAAGTTGGTTTTATATCCTAAATTCGTGGTACTGACCTGAATCACTCTCTGGTCTTGACGGGTCGTCGTCCCCGTTCCCACAGGCGGGATGAGGGTTGGCAGACCCGCTGGAATACCCGTGTTTTCCGTGAGTTGACAAGACATGATGGCCTAACGATGTCGGCGGACTATGGTGAACGCCCGGTGTATAAACCTCTTGGTAGAAGAAAGGAAAATGTCCAGCTGGCTTATCACCATGATTAGGAGGAGGCGATGTCCATGAATGACCACCGTTATTGGCACAGTTCGTCGGCGTGATGGCCGCCGTCGACGAGCAGCAACCCGCCGAGCTGGACTCGGCGTCGACGCCGCCACCTCCTCCACCGCCGCCGCCTCCGCCCGCTGGACTTGGATATCCTCGCAAACAGTTCGTGCTGCTGTGGTAAGAGAATCTGCTCATTAAACCCACATAACTACCGTCATGAGAAAGGTTATAACCATTGTTATGACCATTTGCAACCGTGTCATAAAATGTTCCAATATTGTGTGGGAAGGCACGGGGAGCTTGTAATCCTTCCATCCTTCTAAATTCACAAAATAATCCTATTTCACCCTCAAAATACCTCTCTCCAATACCCATATACTCATCAAAATCTCCAGTATACTTTTATTGAGTTTGTGCTCGGTCTAGCATATTATCGAAGACGTCCGAATTGTTTATGCTTCGGTAATTACAAGAAAAGTCATAAAGACGTATAAGAGTAGCTCATCTTCAATGCGTGTATCTATTTAGGCAGACGACACAGTTATTATCGTTTCCCCCAGGACAGCCACGATTGACACAAAGTGCGTCCTCATATGGGTGTAAACGGTAGCAGACAACACACACCTCATGCGTTGATATTGGGCCAAGGAAGGCAGGCAGGCTACCATAAAGCCTTTGGGTTCACCTACTAAATACAACACACCAATATGACCCGCAATATCAGATGAGTATGGAGGTGAAAGGTCATAATCGATAAAACCCCGTTTTCATTCTTCTAAAGATTTAAAGTTTAAACGGTTTTAGTGACTCTAATTCCAGGTAATAATGATCTAACGATCTGAAGGTCTTTGTTTGAGATTTGATTAGTCACACGACGAACATTTCCGAATCGATAATGGTGAATGAAACGAGAGGAGATAAAAACTCAAAACATAACATCACGTGGCAAATGTTGGACCAATCAGAAGGTCCGCCCATGTGAGAGTAAAAACTTATTCAAGGACAACTCGGCTGTAAACGTTTCGTCTCTCTTTTCAAGCAATATCTCCAAACGTATCATCGTCAATTTATTTTAAAACTTGAGACATTCATGCCCTGATGAAGTCTCGAAAAAGCATTTTATCGGTTAAAGATGGTTAGGGATATGATGGGAGTACTACAATTAGACGGCCTGGATAAATCATGCCCTGTTAGTATACTTACTTTGATCGAAAACATGGCGCTCGTGGTGAGCTTAGGGAGCATGCGACATTACCAGCATCACGTGACAGAGTTCATGGTGTAATGGTGTTGCCGACAAAGAACATTACCAGGAAATGGATGAGCTGGCTGTATGGTTTGGAAAAACAAACAAACATGAGCTTAAGATTTATACAAAATATAATGGACCATTATTTGATATTCAATATTATTGTTGTGATCGAGTAGAAATGTGTCTTCATTTTGGTGTTTAGTGAAGGTTGTGATAATAGTTGTTATATGTTCTATCAATGTTTATCTTTCTCTTGATTTCTTGAAATGTAACCGCCCCTCTTTTTCTTGGTGATACGATTCATGTATCTGTCTCTCTCTATAATTATCTGCCTGTTCTTATTACCCTCTCCATGTCTTTGTCTGTCGGGCTGTTGGTTTGTATGTTTGTCTGCCTCCGCCCCTATTTCTCTCTGTCTCTCTCTGTCTCTCTTTCTCTCTTTATCTATCTCTCTCCCTCTCTGTTTTTCCGTCCATGCATTCCTATGTTCTTATTCGCATGGTATCCGTATTGCCTCATTCAATCTGAGCTCATCCTTTTGTTCTTTTCTTTCTTATCATGTCATCAATTCACCTTTCAAAATATTAGGTGTATTTGCAGCTTTTTCTGGGTTGTTCCTGATAAACATAAATTTCAATGTTGAATACATATTTTCAGTCAATGGAAACACTTCTTTGTTGGAGGTTCATATGCTATCATAGCTGAATGAATCACCCAATAATAACGATAAGATTAGTACCGCTTTTGCCCCCTTTGCATAAGGGCACGCTTGTATCCAGGCATCATCGAATATTTGCATGATAGCTGGGAATGTGTATATAATCAAAACGAATTCCATTCAGATGTGTAGCCCAAAATGTTTGTAGAAGATGTTACAAGCCAATTTCTTGAAACCGTGCTCACGATCTCTTTTTGCTCTTCTGAATAAAATAGGACATTTCAACTGCTTTATCCTCAGAATACTTTGCTAAAGCACATAGTCCACTTTAAAGATAAACTTGAGTTCTGGTAATAAAAGAAAATGAATTCTCACAGAATCTAACGAAACTTACACTGAATGTTCAAGTTTACAAATAAATGTCATGTGCCAAACACTTTTAGAAAAAAAATGTATACTGGCTGAGTAATGGGCATAGAAAGATCAGGAAATCAGGGTAGTACTAGCCCCGACACCATGTGTGTTGTCCCATATACATCTTTCTGTGTAAGTGATTGTTACTTTACTAAGACTCTGCCAAAGTTATGATGATTTTGATGACTCCAGAAACCTTGCATTACACACCATTACTTACATGCTATATGATCAACTTTTCTGATCCATTCCACACCTTTTCTTTCACAATGCAATCGCATGACCAGAACTCAAGTTTATCTTTAACATGATTCCCAACACGTTGTACGACCTCTGCAAAATTAGGCTGGTAAGAAATGGAAAATGTACATGTTTCTTTGTTGTCTAGCTTGTTTGTCTAGTTTTATTTATTTGAACAGTGGAACATGTTATGAACGTTTTTCAGTATTTTTAGCATTTCACCAGGAAAAGTAACAATATGGCAAAGGTTTCATACAGTCATGATAATGTTGTATTAACTAATAATAATTGTAATAATACAAAGTTGGGCGTGATATGAATATGAATATGAATTTGAATGTTGCATGCCCATGTTGTTGAACGGTATATTATTTGGCTATGTAAGCTATAAATAGTGTGTGAATATGTTTGAATAGTACATGCTGCTCATCTGTTTATATATTGTGTAATTAACAATCAATTTATATCATTAAAACAAAGCAAACGACAAAAAACGACAGAAATTTCTTAAAGATTCGTTGCACCGGGAGTGGCCTGAACCGAGTTTGAGCCCGGGAGCTCCCCGATGACCAACCGAGGTTCTCCCTCCGAACCTAATCACCAATATCCGCTCTAGCCTTCCTCCGTCGCTCCAAATCCTACGATCGGCACGTTCGACTAATGACTGCCCTCAACTCATGAATTCCTCCGCGAAAAAATACAACTATCACACTCCTTAGGATGAAAGAGAAGGAAAGCGGCATCACATAATCGAACACGGCTCTCCTCTCCTATTGTGTCAACTCCTTATAGGAATAATAGATTCCTCACGAATTTGTGAGTAATAATTACGATTTTTGCGCTGTAGGGATGGTCTCATCTGTTCGAGTTTGTCGTCGACGCCTGGGCTTGCCCGCTCGTGACGACAAGCGAGAGCAAGCTGGTCCAGTACCTCGGGGGGCTCTCAAAACAACGACATTGCCAGACAGGTAATGTGTTTAATTGATAACGATCAAGTTGTTCATGATCTCTTTTCCCCAACCATTATGCTTTATGAGAGTAGGAAAGGGTGATTCATATATAGATGTCTGCTAGACACACATCGCTATACGAGGTACCATGTTTGAAACGATGATGTGTTTTGGTAATAGTGGAGGTATGAGTATGTCCGATGATCCGAAAATGTGTAATTGAAATTCCCAGAGGTGATATAATTCCAAAGCATCATTAATTATCAATTTGCACACGCCATAAAACTTCTCAATCATGTTTTCTTTCTCGTTCCGGAGCCTTGCGTCTGCGAAGCATCTAACTTTCCTTGTCTGGAGAAACCTCTCAAATTTATTTCTGTCTTTATCCTTATCTCTTTCTATATCTTCTCTTTCTTTATTCATCTGACACCCCCCTCCCCATCCCTTTCCATCTCAATACTATTTTAATATTGATATCTTTGTCTATACATAACACTCTTTTCTTCATGTTTCAATAATCTCTTACTTTGCCCAACTGCTTGGAATTGTATCCCTTTTCCTAATGGGACACTGATGCTCTATTTTTATACAGTATTTAAACCAAAAATTGATAAAACATATTCTTTATTAAAGATCGCATTTGATTTTGTTAAATCAAAACAATGGTATGGGACCTCTTTCAAATTATTTCTCTATTTATGATGATATCTAGGATATTATGAAATTACCCGTATACCGCGGTACGCATACGATTATTACCCCCCCCCCCCCCCGCCTCACACATTAGTCTTGCTCAAATTAATAAATATTTAACTAGCTTTATGACTTTGTCAAAATTTTAAGTAAATACTATTAACCTCCCCCGACCATAAACCACCAAATTTAATTCCTTTCGAAGTAAACCGTTTATTATTCTATAAGCTTTCTATAAAAATAATTTTATAAGGGTTAAACTTTATACTCTAAAATTGAAATGTATATCTAAGTTTAAGGATAAGCATGTGTCTCGCAGTTCACCTGAACTTCTCATAATTTCGTCGTAATACTTTTTCGTAAGAAAGAAAATATGATGCTCATATTAACAAAAAATCTACTAAATCGATAAAGGTATATAGGCATATGATTCTTTTTAACAGAGCGTTCTACATTATATTTATGCCAAGTGTCGTCTATGAAATTATATTAGGCGCCATTCAATAAATGTTATCAAATTCGTTTGATTTCGGTGTCCCAATTTTATCCACAAGTTGCATTCTCTGATCTCCCTTTTACATTTAGCCCTCGGCTATTCTATAAAGCGAATGGAGGTTTATTTCATATTTCGTAAAAATAGAAGGAAACCTTTTGCAATCCCAACAGTTTCTCTTTTAGATGTGCATGATATGATTTGACATATTCAACTCTTAAGATTTTAGGGGAATTGAAAGGCTCGAAAATAAAGTTAAGTTCTTGTCATGCGATTTTAAAGTGAAAGAAATTGTCAGGAAGCAATCTGAAAAAATGATGATTATTTAGTACAAGAATTGGTGTTTCGGAATCATTAAAGTGATACGAAATTTACGCTGTCTTGCCGAAAGTCATACGGATTCTACACAGAAATGTATATGCATTTTGCATGGCAATTTGGTCCAAATATATCAGCTATTCTCGTCATATTTCAAATATGAAGGCATATGAACACGCCGAATAGTCATCCTTTTCAGAGAACATTTTGTACAATTATCTTCCACATGACCATCAACAATAGAAAGAAACACAAACTTGTCTTCTCCTTTTCCAGAACTAAACATTCTCTTTAGTTTTCAACATTATCCTTTCATTATATATCATTAAATAAATAACTACATCTTTTAACATTCATATTCAATCATTATTTTATTTTCCCCAAATCTGACGAATCATACTCATCCCATAATTATGACAGCGTTAGCAACGTAAGAAATATGATAACACACGGTGCTGTATATATTTATATAGAACAGAAGGAACTTCACTTAATTTGCCTTTTAATCACAGCTTTTGAAACAGATTTTTTTTTATATAAAGACACACATAAAAAACAGTTTCCATACGATTCCATGGACTTTAA